AAAAAAATTGAGTTCATCTTACTTGGACTAACATGTTTTTTTGTCTCCCATCTCTTTTTTTATTTGAATAAGTAAATAATTAAAAAATAAGGTAAAAAAATATTTCTCTTCTCTTTTTTTAAAAAATTATTTTAATAATTAAATAGAAAAAATATTTACGTTTTTATTTTTCTATGTCTTCCAACTCATACATAAACTTGACGTATAATTATACCCACAATACTTGTTACATTGGATATGATACAAATATATCAAGATTAAAACTTTAATACTAATCTTTGTAAACTCAACCCCTTCCCCATCTTCCCCATGTTTAAAAAAAAACAAACTTGACACATAATTACTTTTTATTTTTTTAATTAATATGATAATTATTTATCACTGAAAAAGCCATTTTCAAAAGAAGGGAACGTTGGGGCGTGAACTCGCATTCAAATTTCAAAATCGGCTCAAACCCACATCATGTCCATTGACCCGACCTTTTTTTTTTTCGGCCAACACACCGCCCGAGGACACAATGGTAGAAAGTAAAACAGACAACCCACGAGCATTTTCGTAACCTAACGACTGAAAAACCAGACAGAAGCAACTTACGTAATTATCAACGCGCTCTGTTCCAGCAAAAGTGCGGGTGGTCAAATGTCAGTTTTGGTCTTAACCGAAACTGATTTTTAACTAACCCAATTTTAATTATTGGTTATTTATGCTTCAGTTTCAATATTCACCCACCAATTACAGAAAAATTTTTGCTGAGATTGGAGAATATTGGAGGTCCAAACTCATAGTATGTCTAAGAAAATGATATACAAACAGCACCATCGAGGGTAGATTTGAGAAAATAATGAATGAAAAAGAACAAATTAGCAAAAAAAAAAAAACAAATAATACTAAAAATGGCAACTATATAAAAAAAAAAAAAACAAAAGAGTCTATGTAGCCAAGAAACCAAAGGGTGAAGAAGACTTGGTTATGCCAAATGACAGAGGGATGAGAAAGACAAGAAATAACAAAGTGGTTGTTAAGTCATGAGTAAGATCCAAGAATTAAGGTAAAGAAACAACGTGAGAATGAAATTGCTATGAGTGTAGAATAAAAGAGTTTCTAGGAGGCAAGAAAGAAAAAGAGTGACGAAAGAAAAAGGTAAATGATAAAAGATGAGTGGTTGAGGTTAAGAGTGACAAAAAAATGATTGCGTGGGACTGGATAGTTAATGAGCATGTAAATATTATAAAAAATAAAAACTAACTTAAGGCATGATTTTGAATTTTATTTTGATTTTTGAGTAATTAAAATTTTAAATATAAGAATTATATTTAGTATTTTAAATTATATTAAACTATAAAATAAAAATTAATAAAAGAAAGATGAATTTCAATATTAAAAAATCTAATACGATCAAATTTTTAATCTTGTATAATTCAATACAAATTAGATTGTATAATATTTTTTTTAAATATTAAGTTATAACTCATCGTATATTTTTTTTAAATATTAAATTATCACTCATTGTTTAGGATGACAATTAAAATATTTAAAAAATTAAATTTTTATTATTTTACAAATTTAGTTTGATTAAATTTTTAGCTTTCAATTTTTAAATTCCTAAATCGTAAATCAACCAAAACTTTTATCAGTTATAACCAAAACTAATAAATTTATCATAGAAAACTATTTAAACCAAATTATACGGTTAATTTCCCACCCCCCACACCAAACCCAAAACTCGTCCTATCCCATCCCATTCCATATCCTCGCCACGTCACCAAAACCGACGAATCTGATTGGCCAACCGACGTGTCCCCTTGCAAACGCGATTCCTCACGCGATTCCTCTCGTCCTCCTCCGACAGCGATTTCCTATGCTTTCCACACACTCGCGCGTCCACCATCTGACGCTTGACTTTGTCATCGCCCCGACTTATTTTACACTCTCCGTTGTCCGTTGTATTTTTCCCCCACTATATAAATCGTCGGTCGGGTTCTACGCTCCGTCTGTCTCTCTGCTTTGTCTCCGTCGCAACACACTCCGTAAGGATTCCCCGTAATTTTCGGCTTTGTTCGTTAGGAATGGCGTTCGTCTCGTTCGTCGGGAGAGTTCTCTTCGTTTCGGTCTTCATCCTCTCTGCTTGGCAAGAGTAAGCTTCACTCCAGATCTGCCTTTTCTTTTTTGGTTTGTGTGTGTGTGTGTGTGTGTGTGAAATTTTTGTATGTTTGGTTGCTGAGAAAAAAAAGAGTGAGAAAATTTGCTCTGTTGAGTTGGATCTTTTAAGTTGTAGATTTGATATTTGGTAGTTAACTTAATCGATTTTTGAATCTCGAGTTTGTTTGAACTGTCAAGTGGTCCATCCTCCATGTTATTTCATTTTTTTCCCGCTATTTTCTGTGTTTTTGTAATGTCTTGTTTGGTTGCTGAGAAAAAAGTGAGAAAATTTTGCTATGCTTTACTGTATACTGTGTAGAGATTGGATCTTTCGAGTTAGAGACTTGGTGTTTTCTCTGTTATTTTTTTTTTTTATCGATTTCTTGAATCTCGAGCTTTTCTAAACTTTCAGAGAGTCGTCCATGCTAAGATGAGTTTAACCTTAATCTGATCTGATCTTGATTATACTACTTTAGAACTTTTAAGTGGCTTGATCTTTCAGAGTGACATTTTGTTAAGAATCAATGAAGTTGCGATTGTTAAGGGGATATGAAATGATGAATGATGAATTTTTTTTCTGCTTGTAGTTTGCCTCGTATGAGTGAAATTCTTAGTTATTGTTTCGTTGCATTGGGATTTTTTTATATATGCTTAGTAAGTATTGAAGTAATCCTGCTTTAGGGATTTAAAGTAATCAGTTTTTTTGTATCTTGTTTATATTAATAATGTTGTTCTTATTTGGAAAGGTTTGTTCTCCTCGAAAGTTTCAAATTATGCATCATTTATATGATGTTCTTTAATTTCACTTGATTGTTCCCTGATTAAACATGGTTCTGTTTTTGCTTTCTATATATGTTTTAGATTTTACAAGTAGTTGAACTAAATTAAATTAATTGCACTCGATCGCTCCATATTTTCCTGTTTTCATATGTTATGATATAATCATATTTTATTGAAGTTAATCTATTTAAGCGCTGAACTGATTAAATGTAGTTATGGGAAACCATTGCTTGCCAGATGTTCATGATTTGTTAGTTTAGGTCTAGAGCACATAATGCACGTTGGTGGCTGTCAGCCTGTCATTTAATGCTTTGCAAGTCAACTTGGCCATGTTAATTAGTTATATTGACATCTTCCTTTTTAATTTCATCTTCAAGTTTGCACTTCTGGCTTTCCTTCCATTGTAGGAGCCCATCATCTGCAATTGTACTACAAAAATTGGGGTCTTGGGATGTGGTGATAATGCCTTTTACTTTATATCATCTTAATGAAGGAAATATTTTCACTGTATTTTCTCGTATACCCTGTTGTGTTGAAAGAATTATCTAGAAGAGGCAGTAGGTTATTGGTTATTTTATTCTTTTGTCATAACTTATCACAATCTCTTTGATTGTTTACTATTGATTTTTTTTTTTTTGAAGAATATATCTGCATTGCATAGATTTGAAGTCTGAGCTATTTCATGCATATTTCTAATCAACATTGATTCATGCTTATAGGTTCAATGAATTCGGTATTGATGGTGGGCCAGCAGCAAGGGCTTTGGGTCCAAAATTCAATGTATTCTCAAAGCATGTGTCATCTCATACAGGGTTGCAAGTGCCAGTAATTGAAGTATGAATTGCTGAACTTGGCAGGACATAGCTGTTTAGTTCTTATCCTTTGTCAGTGACTCAGAATTGTCTAAATGCCACTTATTCTTGGGTTCTCTATTTACAGATGAAGCATTTAGTTGCCGCTGCCATTGCTTTGAAGGGTGTTGGAGGTCTTCTCTTCATTTTTGGCAGCTCTCTTGGAGCTTATCTTCTGGTTTGTGATATTATTTATCTGTTATTTGAGTTACCAGTTCAACATACTTAGAAACTAAAAGAAATATTATGTATTCTTTGGCAGCTTCTGCATCAGTTAATAGCTGCTCCTATACTGTATGACTTTTACAACTACGATCCTGAGAAGAAGGAATTTGTCCAGCTATTTACAAAGTTCACACAGGTTGGCGATTTAACCTTTATCTGTTTTTTTTTTTCCCCTTTTCTGCCTCGCTTTTTCTCTGCAGTTATTTAATCAAGCTTTTATATGTATGAACTGATTGTTTATGACTGAATCTTGTTACTTTGGTTTTCAGAGCTTGGCATTGTTGGGGGCACTGTTTTTCTTCATTGGAATGAAAAACTCGATGCCAAGGAGACAACTCAAGAAAAAGGCTCCAAAACCAAAAATAATGTGAAGAGGGACAGTTGGTATTCCCAGGATCTAGTTTCTTAGTTACAGGCAGCCTTGCAGCTGTCGAGGATCTATTTTTGTATGATGCTTGTATTGGAGGCATTTCCTTCTTAGAGTAGGAACAAAAAAAGGAAGGCTGTTTGCTTACTTAAAAGAGTGTGATACTATTAACTAACGTGTCATTTTATGGTTATTGAATCCAATCTTGTAGCGATTTGCATCTTGTTCTGAATCCACTAGTTCCCTCACTCTTTGTTGATGTATTTTCTTAAGACATCAAGGTCAACCTTCTAATTTTGCGTACTGTGTCCAGGACCTCAGAGGATTGATACGGACATATGGATTCATCACTTTCAGCCTTAACGTTAAAAATGCAAAAATAAGGAGCATTGGATGAATGAGGGTCTTTCTAACGTTAAAAGGTTCACTTTTTATTTAATAATTTAAATTATATAATTTAATAAAATTTCAACTATACATTTTTTTTTAATTGCCTCAAATGATAAGGTTCTGACTTCTGATACTCTATTGAGGCGGCTATGATTTTAAATACAACCCACTTGGCATTTCCACCTATTAACCACTTAGACAAGTGACAACCCACCTGGACATGTTTTTCTACTTACTTGCCTTAATCAGATACGTTGAGGTTGAGAATACCATGATAAATGGAAAAGCTATAAATTCCTCCTATTATTGAAGTAAATTATCATTTAAAAAAATTATTAATATAATTTATCATTTCAAATTTTTATTATGAAGAAATTAATCTAATTGTTAATATTAATTTTTTATTAGATTTTAAAAAATAATAATTTAAGGAAATCTAAAAGTAATCATTAAATATAAATTGGTTTCTTAAAATAAAAATTTAGGACAACAAAATGCCAATATTTTCTTTAGGTAATAATTCAGTTCTAAAACAACCGTTTTTGAGAGGCAATTTGTACTTTTAGCAATGATAAATTGATAGTCTCAACTCTTAAGCCTTCTCCTTACTAGAACTGGAGAAACTGGAGAGCCATAGAGATATTAAGTACCTCTCAAAGGTCCAAAAAAGATATGGTTATTGCTGGTGCAGACGAAGTACTGCAGGCAAATGCAAGCCCTGAATATGATCGAGCAAGTGAATTAAAAGCTTCTGATTCTGATGACACAAAAGCCGGTGTCAAGGGACTCGTGGATGCCAGAATTTCAGAGGTTCCGCGGATTTTCCATCACCAACGGGGCTGTTTTACAGTTTCGGGAGACACCCAATTCAGCATCCCCATCATTGACCTTGATGATGTGAAGAAAGATTCATTGAAGCGCAGGGATGTTGTTGAACAAGTACGGGTTCCAGTGAGTGTACTGGAGGAGATGAAGGATGGTGTTCGTCGGTTCTATGAGCAAGATCTTGAGGTGAAGAAACAACATTACACTCGCGATTATTCACAAAGGATGGTGTACAATAGCAATTTTGATCTGTTTACTTCACCGTCTGCCAGTTGGAGAGATACACTTTTCTGTCTCATGGCTCCTCATCCTCCTAAGCTGGAAGAATTGCCAACCGTACGTGGGTATGTCTTCTGATATCCTCTTCACTTCACTTTGAAACAGTATTCCTAAGATCAAAACAAGGTTTAAGGAATCCTTCACTACCCATCTTAAGGTTCGAATTTGAAGAGTCCTACTTAGATTCTCGAGTTCTTATCATCACTTTGAGATGTCTCTTTTGTGCTGCATAAAGTTGGACTTTTTTGCATAAATTTAAATTTGAAATTAGTGCATACAAATGAAGCTGATTTCCCTTTTTTTTTTTTTTTTGGGTAAAATGTAAATTCTTATTACCAATAACAAGTTAAGCTGATTTCTGAATTGGCCTGTAGGGACATAATGTTTGAGTACTCAAAGCATGTTAAGGATTTGGGAGATTTACTCCTTGAGTTGCTATCAGAGCCTTGGGGCTGAACCCCAACCATCTGAAAGACATAGACTGTGCCAAGGGTCTTGCCATGCTGTGCCACTACTATCCTGCCTGCCCTCAGCCAGAACTGACATTGGGCACAACCAAGCATGCTGACAATGACTTCCTTACTGTCCTTCTACAAGACCATATTGGCGGCCTCCAAATACTTCTTCAGAATCTGTGGATTGATGTGCCTCCTGCTCCCGGAGCTCTAGTTATTAACATTGGAGATCTCCTCCAAGTAAGCTTCTCCTTAATTTCAACTCAGAACTCTACAATGGTTTAGTTTAGGCTTTACCCTTCATCATTAATTAGACCAAAACCTTGATTTTCACTGCCTTTGCACCCGTTCCTCATCTCTTCTTCCTTTACAACAATCACACACTTATTCCAGGCATGGAATGGAAGGAAATGAATAGGTGATTTCTAAGCTCATTTTTGTTTTTCTTATTTCAGCTTATATCAACCGATAACTTCATAAGTGTGGAGCACAGAGTGCTGGCAAATAATGCTGGACCAAGAATATCAGTGGCGTGTTTCTTTAGCACATCTGTTATGGCAGATTCAAGACTTTATGGGCCTATCAAGGAATTGTTATCAGAAGAAAACCCTCCAAAATACAGGGAGACCACCGTGAGAGACTGTTGTCTACTCCAATAGACAAGGCCTGGGTGGCTCTTCTCCTTTGCTGCATTTCAAGTTATGATCAACTTACCCTTCAAACTTCACTAAAAAAGAACGAAGGGTTTGCATTTCATTTGTAAAATAAAAGACATAATCTTCTTCTTCTTCCGTATATATTTTTAAATTGTTTGCAGAGATTGTTAATAGTTCAATATTGTGTAAACACTGTAAAATTTATAATAAATTTTCATTCTTGAATTTTTTAACATTATTTGAATATAAACAAATTTAATTATTCATTTTGAAAGATTAAACTATACCTTATACTTATAAATAAGATAATTTATCAATAATAATGTATTAATACTCAATATTTATATTATTAAAATTACTGTTTTCGTTATAATTTATTTGATTTGAGGAAAACATAAGAAAAGTTGTTTCCCTTCAATTTATTTGGTAATCAAATAGAAAAAATTTATTGGTTTTTTTTTTTGGTAAATGAGAAAATTTATTAGTTACTCCACAAATTGATGTGGTGCAGGAGTCAAAGTATCAGCTGAAGACCGTCTGGTGGAAGAGGTACTTTGGGTCATTAGTCTCCCAAGTCCCGTCTTTAATTTCTAAGAAGAGCATTCTTTTCTCAGTCTGAAATTCTATTTCTTTCAACGATGGTGGTCGATGAAGGCAGTGAATTTCAGGCCGGAAGTAACTCAGCTTATGATCGGAGTAGTGAATTGAAAGCCTTTGATGAAACGAAAGCCGGTGTTAAGGGTCTGGTAGATTCTGGGTTAACGACAATTCCACGCATTTTCATTGATCACCAACGAACTCTCGATAAGAAATCAGGATCCACCGATGCCCATCTCAGTGTTCCGATCATAGACCTTCAAGGTGTCAATGAAGACTCAACTCTGCGTGGGAAGGTAATCGAGCTGGTTCGTGATGCGTCGGCAAAATGGGGCTTCTTTCAGGTGGTGAACCATGGAGTTCCCATCAGTGTTCTGGATGAGATGATTGATGGGGTTCGTCGATTTCACGAGCAAGATGTTGAGGTGAAGAAAGAGTTCTACACCCGTGATATCTCCAGCAGGAAGACGGTCTATCTTAGCAATTTTGATTTGTACAAATCACAAGCTGCTAATTGGAGGGACACTCTGGCTCTTATCATGGCTCCAAATCCACCTGCTGCTGAAGAATTGCCTAGCATCTGCAGGTATGTAGCACATGAGACAGTACCTTCTTTCAATTTTAACTCTAGAGTTTGATTGGTTAAAATCTGAACTGCCCAAGGCAATTGGCTGTTAGTACCTAGTAGTATGATGACTTTTGGAGAAAGAAGTGTTTTTGAATTAGAATCCTCATCTTTTACAAGTTTGAATTGCAGAGATATAGCGATGGATTACTCCAAGAAAGTAACGACTTTGGGGCTTGCACTATTTGAATTGTTATCTGAGGCTCTTGGGGTTAGTCCTAGCCACCTTACTGACATCGGTTGTACTGAGGGATTGCTCCTGCTTGGCCATTATTATCCTCAATGTCCGGAACCAGCACTAACTATGGGCCTTGGCCACCACACAGACAGTGACTTCATTACCATACTTCTGCAAGACCAAATTGGTGGCCTGCAAGTTCTTCATGACGATCAATGGGTTGATGTTCCTCCCATACCAGGTGCCCTTGTAGTGAATATTGGAGATCTTCTACGGGCAAGTTCATCTTCTTTTTTCTTTTTTTTTTTTGGCAAAAAAAATCTTTCACTTTATATAAGCTTTTGTATCTTGCCTGGGAATAGTTTCACAAAATGTAGTTAAAGAACCAGATATGAGGAACTTCTTTATCTTCTCATTTATTACACCATTTAACAGTGGAGTATAGCAAATTATATAAACATATTCTTTTTTTTTTTTTCTCTCTCTCTCTTTTGGCAGCTTATCTCCAATGATAAGTTTAAAAGCGTTAATCACAGAGTTTTGGTAAAGGGTGCTGGTCCCAGAATTTCATTAGCTTCTTTCTTCAGAACACAAGTTAATGCAGGAAATGCATCAAGAGTTTATGGACCGATCAAGGAACTGTTATCAGATGAAAACCTCCCAATTTACAGGGAGACCTCTGTTAAGGATTATTTGTCGCACTACTACTCGAGAGGCTTTGACAGCTCTTCTCTATCAGATTTCAAGCTGTGAGGTAACTTGAGATACTTGTGTTCTGTTGTTGTAGTAAAGACGATTGTGAGTACTTGTTGGGGTTATTCCATATGTATAATGCGTCACATGAATTTGTAGGTGTCACATGGGGAAATAAGCTGTTCGTTTCTGTCAGTGAACTGGTTGAAGCTCATGGATTGAATTGTTGATCCCTTACTCTTGCATATGTAAATTATCACTTTGTAAATGAGAATGATTATAACCACACAAATGAATGGTAAGGCCACACAAAAATATCATGATTGTGTTTGATTTGGTAGTTAAGAATAATTAATAATTGTAATTGAGAAGTGATTGTTGATAATATTAGTTAACAATTTGAAATCAGTCTAAATTGATATTTTTATATGCCCTAACCAACTTTAAACTGATATAATCAAACAAATCAAATACGCCCATATGATATTTAAGTGTGTCTTAATGGTTGTGGCCTCTATAAATAATGAAGTGTCATTTTAATAATAGTTATGTTTTCCTATATTATTTAGGAAATGTGCAAGTTTTCATCTCACAAAATTCCCCAACAAAGATAATTTGGAAAAGGATCGCGTTTGGTACATCTCACAAATGCCCCTTACATGTGATTTTTATCAATTCTAATTTATCTTATTTGGTATATGATAAAATATACTTAGATAAATTCAATAAATAATTTATTAATTATGTAATTTATATCAATTTAATTTAAAAATAATTGTTTTTTAAATGATTTATAAACTATTAATTTTGTTTCAAAATAGTCTACTTGACGAACATTTCATTAATTGATTAATGAAATTCTTTCTGACTATTAACAAACTACCCTTTAAACTTTTGAAAAATGTTAAATATAACAGTTTAATTTAAAAATAATTATTTTTTAAATGATTTATAAACTATTAATTTTGTTTCAAAATGGTCTACTTGATGAACATTTCATTAATTAATTAATGAAATTCTTTTTGACTATTAACAAACTACCCTTTAAACTTTTGAAAAATGTTAAATATAATATATATATATATATTTTTTACAACATTTTATTTTTTAAGTTCAGATTTTTTTGTTAAATATAATAATTAACCAAGATGAAATTTCGATTTACATTCATT